CTTGTTCAGTTAGTTTGACACTGTCCGTCACTGCCTCCGAATATCGGAAGCTTACATTAAATTTATTAAAAATTATAAAATCTCTTTCGAAATGTCATACAACGAGGAAATATATGCTGTTCCGTTATCAGACGTGGAGAAAAGTTCTAATAGAGATATCGATAGTGATTTAGACAGTGGAAGTGATATCATTGTGAGACAATTCGAAATTTATCACACAAAAAAGAATATAGATCCTAAAGGTTAAATTTTTTAAGTAAAATGTTTAAATAATAATTAAAAAATGTAAGATTACGCAATAAAAATGGCGTAACAGTTACTTCAATGCCTTTTTTAATAATAATTATATTGCAACAACTTGCGTGAATCTCGCCGGCGGCAGCGCGTCGGCGATTCGAGAACTGTGCGGCCGGCAAAGTGTTAATTAGCAGTCAAATCATCGAGAAATAATCGGATTTGAATGAATTTCAATACGAAAACTCCTTTTGCACAAAAAAAGGCAGTATTTTAATCGTTACAGCTGTTCAAACAGAGTATTTCAATCGAGAATTAACAAAAAATCGATTCTGATGAAATAGAAAGAACTACCGAGGCGTAAACCACGCCTCTTTTGATTCGAGACAAAATTTGCTGGATCGTAAAGTAAAATAGAATCTCGGATTCACGGTGTACCTTTATCCGACCCTATTTTCTACCCTTGATCGCTGTAGTCGAGAAGGACGAGCATAATATAACGAAAAAAAGACCAACTGAACGAAAAAGGGATACAAAAATGTGGTAGGACGAACAGAGGGCGGAATAAAATTCGACGGCAATGACGACACAGTGATAATAACGAGAAAGGAATTTTCGAAATGATTCGTCTCACACTCTCTCTTTCGCATACATACAAGTTTTATTTCTCTCTCTCTCTCTCTCTCTATCAAAATTTCTTCATCACGATGAGGATTGTCGTTGAAACGATATTAACGGGGAACGCGTTACAGAGTTTTCCAATAATACCTCCAGAATATTTTTAGGTTGCATATTGAAAATATCAAATATCTTTTTTATTCTATTTGCCAACTGTTATTTATAGTCGGATAATGGATTGCGACGCAAGTTCGTTGTAATTTCCTCTTTTTCGAAATAAAGTTTGGTACCATTCTGCTCACATATTAAAAGTGTCATAGGATTCCATGCGAAAGGCGAGATGTAATCAGTTAATGGAAATGTTTTTTCAAATATTTAATAACGCTCTTTCTGTTCAAGATAGATACATTTAATTGCTATCATTTTTACATTTCTTTCGATAATTAATTTTGTTATTGCATTACGCTTGGTACATTTCATCGGTTTAGAAGCAGGTCAGAAGAGTTTCGTGGTAAAAGAAAGGTTACAACTAAAATTGATCAAAGTTTATTTTGAAACAAAGAAATTCGAACTTCTATCACAAAATACTGATTATTGGAAAACCCCAAGAACCGAAAAGGGGAATGACAAGCGTGAGAGTTACAAAGCGGGTTAAAATGTTTCTGTAGATCACCCGATCTCCACCCATGTTCACCAGAAAATAAAAATCGATTCCGTACAGAAAAATCTAGAGAACCTAAGACAGTCGTCGGCTAGTCCTAATGATATATTTTGAATTAGTCGTTATCGGCTACCCTACACTCCTCCTTATATCGTAGTAATAAGTCATCGTAGTTAAGTGTTTTTTTTTAGGGCGTTCTCTTGCTATTTATCTCCCCGCCATTCTTTCTCTCATTGCCTCGAGTAACTGTCATCTCGTACACTAAATCGATCTATAATCTACACGTCCGGCACGATCGTGAGAACGGAATCGAACCGATCGATATTTCGCACGAACACCGATGGTCCCCCAGTCGTATATCGACTGACGTATTTATACGCAGATTCCCTTCTGTTTGATTGATTCACGAACGACAGCCACCATTAAAGATCGCCACGAGTCGAGCCGGTTCCGCCATTACGATCGTGCCAGCGCCAATATACAGTACTCCGATAGTCTTACAAATAATATATCTAACAACGTTAGGTTCATCTTAGATTGCTTTCCATGATCACGCCGACTCGTACTCGACAGAGCCTGAACGTGCATTCGTCGAGGGTGCGAACACTCCTGGGACCCCATTTAATTGGCGTTCGATCGATCGATTTCTTTCGAGTCCGTCCGTTGCTGACCATCGACGCGTACACGAGAGACCCTTGGGCTCAAGATCCATTATTTACCTTAGTATTTCTCTGCGACCTTGTCCTCCTTTATGTTATATTTTGTTCGCTCTCATTTTTGCTCGTCGACTTTTTAATAACTTCGCAGACACACGATATAGATATAGGTTACTTCTTTACGTATCTTTCAACACACGCATACGGATTCAGTCTCGCATTCTTACTTCGTTCGATTTATTGCGGCGACGATGGGCAGAGTTGAGGAAAAGGGGTGCGTTGCGGAGGGGAGGTTTCAAATTTTTGAATTTTTATATTTTTGAGTATGAGAATATTGGATTTGAGTATTTGTGGTTTGGGATGTGGGATTTGAGAATTGTAAGATGTGAGTATTAGAGGAGTTAGAAGTTTGAGATTTAGGGATTGAAGGATTTGAAAGTTGGGGGATTTGCGAATTTGCTTAATTAAGAAATTTGAGATATTTGAGAATTTGGCAGTTTCAGAAGTTGAAAAGTTACGAATTTATGAATTTAATTCGGAATTCAGAAATGTAGGAATTGAAAAATCTGGGATATTGCAAGCTTGGGAATTTGTAAATCTGGACAATTAGAAAATTCTCAATTTGGAAATTTGGAAATTTGTGAATCTAGGTGTTTGGAAATTCGGGAATTTGCGGAGCAGGGAACTTGACAATCTAGGAAATAGAGAATTTAGAAATTTGATCATTTGAAATTTTGGAAATCTTGTAATCTGAGAGCTCGACTATTTTGAATTTGGGAATGTAGAAAATTTGAGAATTCCGAAATCCAGTAACTTAGAACATTTGAAACCTTCAAATCTACCAATTTAAAAATTACCAAAGAGAATCATAGTAATTTTGAGACCCAAGAAACCTAATAATTTGAAATTTAAAAAATTTAGAAATTTAAACTTTCAAATCTGCAAATTGAATGCACGCCATTGCATCTCAGTTGCCCATCACTGCCCTTTCTCCGGCAACGTTCAAGCATGCAACGATTACTTTGTTTAGAAATTGCTTGAACGACCGGAAACATTAGCAATCGTCACGAACGTCTTCTGTTGCACTCGAATCGACGTGAACCGGTGATTACGCGAAATAGAGTACACCTCAATGATTTCAATAATATTAGCTACTTCCACATTTTTTTAAACCTTATTAAACTTTTACTATCAAGGTGGATTTAATCTACGTTCGTAATAAATAGTTAACACATGAAGACCAACGTCTTCTGTAATTTTATATGTACACGTAACCATTGCTGAGTTTTACTTACACAGAAAATTACACATTTTTATTCTTAATACTAAAACTACACAAGGGTTAGTGTCAATGTCTCCATCATAATATATCAAATAAACCATATACAGTTTTGAAATATTTTTAATAATTTGAATCAATCAATAGATACAAAAAAAATACATAAAGTATTGCGTTAATTTTCTCCGGAACAATTTTACATAAAAATCACTGAAAACGAGGTGTGTTTTATTTCACATAAATAATTATCTCCGAATTGTTTTCACGTAGATTTGACTCGAATTAACGAGTTCTTTAAACAATTCGAAGATTTTCGAATCACGTCGATTAGCTTGCACAGAATGCATATATTCTAAGGTAATCCCGGTATTTCCCCCCAACCCTTATTACTCGGAAATTAAATCCTTAACCTTACGACATAATACTATTCAATACTTGTTTTGAAGCTCATAATAAGTACATACTTGAGGATTAAGTTACCGATTACTGTAATTAATCTTACACATCTATGGTCTCGCTTTCTGCTTTCATATACACGTACAGTTACTCACATTAATATTCGGACACCACACCATCCTCGAATTTACTGATTTATATAACAAAAAATTGCTAAGATCTCAAGTTGCTTACGTTATGAAAAATATTTATCTGCTCTGAATACGTCTTGTGAAAACCTTCCTATTTCTCCCTAAAAAATTATTGCATTTATTTTACCCCAGAAATAATATTCGATAAATAATATTTATTAAGAAAGACTGGTTCAATGAATTGCAATTATTCCTGTAAAATAAGCAACGCAACAAATTCTTTCTTATACGAAGCAGCAAATTTACAAATGGCGCGGATCTACTCTTTATCTCAGCACTCTCGCATTCGTTCGATTAATCGCTTACTAACCGAGTGTATTATGTATCTTTTATATGCCGTCGACGCGATAGATACAGAACAGAAAATCGTCGAGCGCGGCGTTCCGAATCTCTGTACAAGAATAACTAATAGTTCGCGCGCCTCGAGTCTACCTCGATCGGCCCGGGAGAGAGCGACTTCCGGTTTAGCTGGTTACCTCGCGATATATCGCGGACCGAGGAAAATTATCTCACGGGCCACGAACGGTCGCGTCGCGAACGTCTCAACAATACATTCGTTTATGTACAAACTAAGGAGCAAGAGCAAAACCATCGCCGACACGGCGTTTATTCAACTTCTTTATTCGTCGCTTCTGCTCGTTCTGATCGTCGTTCTTCGCCTTCGAAACCAATGTGAAACGTTTTTTTAACGTTACCCTACCTCGTATGCACTTCTCTAGGAAAATGGCGATGGAGGGTGGAATTAGTTATTTTGTCATATTTGGAGATTCTTGAATTTTAGGGGTGGGATTTGGGGGTTTGGAAATTTGAAGATTTAGAGATTTGCAGAGTTGCAAATTTGGAAACTTGAAAAGTAGGAACCTTGAAAATTCAGGTATTTGGAAGTCAGGAATTTAGGGACTGAAGATGTGGAAATTTGGGACTTTGGCAATTCGAATATTTAGGACTTTGGAAGTGAAAAATTGTCTAGTTAGGAATTTAACTTAGAAATTTCAACATTAAGAATTTCTGAAATTTTTGAAATTGGGAATCTGACTTTCTGAAGATTGCGAACTTCAGAATTAAAAATTTAGTAATTTAGGTATTTGCAATTTTATTGATTTGAAATTTAAAGAACTTGAGGACTCGAAACTTGTACAATTACCCAATTTGAGAATGTCACAATCTAAATATCTGTAAAAACACCTTATATAAAACCTATTAAAACACAAAAATTACTTTCGAAAATCAGAAACATTCAAAGTTCATTTAACCCCCAAAATTGAAAGCAAACCCTCGCCTTATCCAAAAGAAGCTTATATCGAGCGTACACTTCAACGACGACGAGAACTGGGTATACAGGAAACAGCGACCGTTCCACGGATTGTTTAATACAGCACCGGTAAGCATCCATTTCCGTTGGTAGAAGCACTCGCGATCACCGAAAACGATCGATATGCGTCTTTCTAGGTAATCTCGGTTCTACGTTAAAAGTAAAATAAAACTAATTCTACGCGTATACGATAAAGGACGAAAGTTAAAAAATGTAAAAAAAAGTAATATGAAAGGAAAGCAGTCGCGGAGAGCAGGAAACATTATATTCCTCGCATCTACGGTTGCATCGTTCCGAAGAGAATTTTTTATAAAAATACCATGCACTATGACCATCCTATGTACACACGAACGTTCCCGAACCGGAAGAGAAACGAACACAGAACGCTGACACGAGTCGCGTTACGGTGAAACTCAGAACAAGACAATAACATTCTTGATTGAAGAAAAACTTGTATGAGCTGTACGCTGCCTAAAATACAGGGTGCTTCAAAACTGGAGTCCAAACGTTTAATCCATAGTACTCACCGAGTGGACAAAATGGCTGATCGACATAACCTAAAAATTTTATTCATACTTCCATTTTTGTATTCACAAGTATCGTAGATCGAATGAGAGGAGATTCATTTAACAATTAAAGATTAAACAGTACCAGATTATTGATAATATTAACGAAGATTGTTTAATGAATGTAAACGTACTATCAGTGGATCCACTGATATAAAAATATCCACTTTTGCACTCCCAGAAATTTGTCGTATATTTCATCATTGAATTTATCTACGTTGACAATTTGTATATCTTTCAATGAGTATTATGAACAGTTTGAAACCTCGATTTTTAACTCGACCTGTACATTCGTGATTATAAATAGTCGACGATGTTCGCCGATATTGAAACTGTCTCTGATCGATCGTCTGTCCGATTGACCCGCGATTCATACTAGTTTGCTTCACGATTTCGCTGGATCGAGACCCGATCCGATCTGGCGAAAATTCTCGAGCAAACGAGGGAGTTAATCTATTCTAGGCTCAGAGGTATATATGAAAGGATTTCCCGCTCGAATCTTCAGCATCTGGCGAGAACGAATTCGCGCGGTTTACTCGCCTATGTATTCCTAACGTAAGTGCATCTGAACGTAAGCTCGAAGAGCGTAAAGTGGCTTTTACGATTTACAGGCCTTACCGATTTTCAACACACCTGTGTAGCACCTTCGGAGTTCTCCACGTTGATAATGATAATAGCGATATAGGATGTATAGAATATTCGTGAACGAGAGCTCTGTCACAGCCATACACGTTGGAACATCTTTGAACTGCAGCGTACTTTGAATTGCAAATATGATTGAAATTGGAATTCGTATTCTTCGTGTATGCATTTTGCTTCACAAATATTATGTGCAATAACTTCCATTGCTGACGTGAGTTAGTTTGATAAGTGACAGAATATAATTTGAAATGTTCATATGTACAAAATATCAGTGAAGAAGAGTGTATAAAGGACGTCAAATTTTTACGTCAAAAATAAAATCAATGCTGTACATTGTGGGGACTAGTGTCTTACAACTTGAAGAGTGTTCTTAATCTGACAAATTAATCATTTGCAAATTTGAGAATCTGAAAATGTACAAATTTGCAGACTCGTTTTAAGTTCTCAAATGTCCAAATGTCCATGACATACCGCACTGATTGAAAACTTGTATCAATTTAAAGATGTTCCGTTGTAAAACGCTGCAAGAGAGTCACAATCACATTAGCCTATCTACACTATAAGGAACAAAGACATCGGCAAAATAAAAAAAGGAATAAAAAAAAAACTAAATGCAGTCCGATGACGGATATCCATGCAAGTCGGTACATATCGACAACTTACACGAGAAGCTAAAGTATCTAAGTGGACCTAAATTATCCGTGAAATAATCTCATGTGTAACCTGCGTGACGTTCGAAAACGCGTCGACGTGGCGTCTTTCATTCTCTCCCTCTCTCTTTCTCCTGCACATCGAATCGATATACGCATACACACGAGCGCAGAAGTATTTACTCGTTTTCTGGCTCGTTAAACTACGCTGAAGCTCGTCCGTACAATATCTAATCTTCTGATTCTTGCCCTCTTCCCGTGCAACCTTGCCACTCGATGGATCGCTTCGTCTCGTTCGTATCACAGATCTAAGGAAACAGGAGGATTGATTTCCGGTTTCTAACGGGTTGCTTCGCGGACGGACGCCTCGATTCGAGCCGCGTTTCGATTATCGACCAACGTATCGTACGTTTCCGCCGAAGAACGGGCTGCATCCTGCGAGAAACGAAACCTTAGGAACCGTATCGCCGAACCGTCCGCTCAGTTTTGCCCTTACAGTCGCGTTTAAGCGCACTTTTCCCACCTGGCAAATGCCATCGCTGCCAATCGCCATCAATCGATCGTCGTTAATTCGCTTCACTCTTACTGCGTGCTTGTACATATTTACAAGGGTGGACAATCTTCGGGGCAGCTCGAGAATAGACAAATCAAAACGGACACTTTGTTCTGGTCGCACTATTAGTAGAATATGTACAGTATCGAGCATGGTAGGATCTCGTCGGGAAAATTCCCATATTCCTCTTATTATTCGATATAACACTTCAAGGTTTACAATGTCACAGAAGCAACACATGTGTCTTTTCTGAGGTTGAAAATTTGAGTGACTGGATTTGTAAAGTCATAGCTGTACACTTTTAGTGACTGAATTTTTGAACTCAGAGGTTGAAAACTCGAGTGATTTCAAACTATGAATTTAGAGCCCGAAAAATATGGACACCTGATATTTTAGAAGCATAGAAATGTGTAATCATGAAGAATTTAAGAACCCAAAAAGCACTACCAATTCCAAAATCTTGAACCACTAAGAACCTTGAAACTGGTACCCTAATCTTGAAACCGACAATTCAAAAATAATGCGAAACCTTAAAGCCTCTGATATGGCGATAATCCCAAAGGAATCCTACCGTGCCGATTACCGTCGCAAATAACTCGAATGATGGCGACGGTGCGACCGCGCGTCGCGACGCTCCCGTTCCACTCATGATCGGATCATTTACTGAATCTTCAAGGTTGCCTTGAAAGCAAATGTTCGATGGCGAAGATCGGACCAATCAGGACGAGGCTCGTCCGACCGATCGAGTTGACCGAACGACCGGTCGCGTATTGGACGTTCGGTTTGCCGGTTTCTTGGTACGGACGTGGATCTCAATCGATCGAGAACTCGTCGGCAGCAAGAAGGACAAAGGCAGTGGTGTAACCGGTCAGAAGGAGAGTGAGGCTCGTCCAACTGATCGTGGATGGACCGCGATTCATCGGCAGGACGCTTGCGTGTGGCATCGTGTCGGGGTCTCGGCTCGACGAGGGCTCCAACGAACGACTCCATCAGACCAGAGGAGTTCCGTACACCTCGTTCAGGTGATTTTGATTACTGTCGTTCTGCCTCGAGGCGCATTGCTGCAACAGAAAAAGAACGAAACGGGGATCCTTCAGCAGCTGATCGATAACTTTGCTGGGGCTGGATGCTGATTTTTTATCCCTGGACGACTTCATTTGTGATAGAATAAAATTCAATGACTGTTCTCGTAATTGCTAATCGAAACAATATTTTGTATCTATTAAGAGTACGCTATTTGGAACAGTGAATTTAATACGGTATTTGAAACAATTCCAAACTTAACATGATTACAGACCTTTCATAAATTAGTAGCACAACAAATTATAAAAATTATAGAATTGAAAAGTTGAAGATTGAAAAATTGACAAATTGACAAATTGACAAATTGACAAATTGAAGAATTGAAGAATTGAAAAATCGAAGAATTGAAGAATTGAAGAATTGAAAAATTGAAGAATTGAAAAATTGAAAAATTGAAAAATTGACAAATTAACAAATTGAAAAATTGAAAAATTGAAAAATTGAAGAATTGAAAAATTGAAGAATTGAAGAATTGAATGATAGAATGCATGAAAAATGTAAAGACTGAAAAATTTACTAATGAAGCACTTCTACTTATTAAAAGAGAAGTGATTTAAAATTTAACGAAGGAAAATGTAGAAGGATCTAAACTGAAATATTAATTATCGCTGGTACCAGTGACGCGACGTTCGAGATTTAATGTTAAATACGGTGTCTCCTGTTTTGAATTATTAATGCAACGTTAAGCTGCGACATAATTAATAGGTTATTCTCGAATGAAGATATCAGGTTACTTCATAAGTAATGTCGCATATTAGTTTGCTCCTAATAGATAACGTATCGTGTTCATATTTTAACTGTTCATAAATTATTTAGTACCTGCAATATGTAGTCTACACTGCAATTATCTTTGATTAAATTTATAACTTTGGTATTTCACGAATTATTACGATGCTTCATATCGTTATTATTACTCTATTACTTTGAAATGAAATAGTTAATCTAAAGTATCAAATATTTGGATTCAAAAATATCTCGGAGTGTAATATTCATTAAATAAAATATATCAAAACTTGTTATTTGAAAAGAGAATAAATAATTATAACACTTGCTTATTTGTCCATGAAACAAATATCTTTTCCATAAACAGAAATCAATTTAAAAAGCAAATGGAATTTCCAACCTTTATTCCCAAATTATCATTTCACATAAAATACTTGACTCACCGCTTGTTTTCTCTCCCAGCTTTTCATGGCAGACTTGTATTTCTCGAATTCGTGGCACCAATCCGAGTAGATCTTCTGGTAATCGTTGGATTTGGCGGGTGCGGAACATCTGTGCGCGTCCACGGTGATGTTGTACGAACAAAGTAGAGAACCACCCAGCCAACAATCGTATCTTCCGGCATCTTGTTCATTCACACCGACGATCACCAGACCTTTCTCGGACGTCTCGATGAACTTGTCCCCACCGGCACCGTACTTGTAAGCTATCTGATACCTGCCTTTCTCCTTGCTATAATGATACCACCTGACTTCCTGATTCGCCAGTACTTCCGGCATTTTCACGAAACAACCCAAATGTACCGACTGGCCCCAGGTGACTACCAGCTTCCGTTTACCTACACTGCTGTCGCAAACGTCCGCCGTACTGTTTGACACGTCCTGGAGAAGTCTGCCAACCAGAATAAACACCACTACGTCTACAAAATATTCTATATATTTTATCTATTTCATATAATCAATAGGACACTTTATGATACTTTGAAAATTAGTTCCATTGGGGTCATATAGATCCTTGAATTTAATAAAATAGATCAATAATAGATCTAATAGATCAACAAACTCCTATTTGTGCAAATTGGTAGGTTGAAATTTTTGGATTCCCTTGTTTCTGGATCCTCAAAGCCTAGAGTTCATTCACAAGATCTATAAGTACCTATGACCCTAAATTTCTAATCCCCAATATTTCAAGTGTTACAGGTATGTCTTCAAATTTCTAGATCCTCAAATTCCTGAATCACCAAATCTAAGTCTGTCAATACTTCTGTTCTTAAGTTTATAAATCAACCAATTTTGTCGTATTTGTGGAACCCCGAATTCCAAATGCCCCATTGCTACATCACCGAATCCCTAAATTCCAATATCTCTAAATCTTAAAATTCTACAATCTTAATCTCAACATCTCCGAATATCTATGTGCTCAAATTTCTAGATCCCCAAATTCGTAATCTACAAAATCCCTAAATCTCCACATTCTGACCCTTCAAATTCCCACATCGCTTCCCTTAAGTCCCATATCCGTAGATCTCCAAATTCGAAGTTCCAAACTCTTATGTTCCCAACTTGTTGACCCATCTCTTTCAGATTTCTAAATGTCCCCAAAAATCCTCACAAATCCTTAACTGACTGTCAATATTTTACAAGTTCAATTTTCATTAACGACTAATATTTCACATAAAGAATGCACCTACCCAGGTTCGTAAGGTTTGCACGTGTTGGTGTCCTTGTCCCATCCACAATAAGGATCGTGAACACATCGGAGGCAGTTGTCGTATCTGCGAGTGCACATCACCAGGTCGATCTGCTTTATTCGATGATCAGACGCGACGTAGAGAGCCTTGTGCTCCTTCGAGATCTCCATCGCTTGAATCGGCTCACCCGGTGTCACGTCAAAAACATCCAACAGGATAGACTGGGACTCGCCATTGTTGTCTATCCATTGAACAACTTTGTGTACCCGTCCGTCACCTGAAACATGGGAGAATAATGCTTGAGCAAACTAGCACCACGAGCAGCTAAAGTGCTGTCAAATTTACATGGCTGTGATATGTTTTGGTGAAACTGGACATATTCGGTTACCTCGAGAATTATTTGAAGGATTTGTATAATTGAAATGGATGAAAGTGGCGTTTATTTTAGGTTAAATTAAGGGAAATTTAATAATAGTAACATGTATTTTAATTTGATCAAATTTGTGTTACTGGGGAGAGATATTTCTCTTAGGGACAGATGTAATTAATTTGACAGTTGCAGCAGAGATAATAATTTGATAAAGTATAATTTATAATCAATGTTAATAGGAGTTAAATATGATCATTTTGTTTGAAACTAGGACTACTAAAATCAAATATTCTATTTGAGTTTGTAAAAGTTATTAATGTGGTTTTATAGAAACGTTGACTTCTTACCAAAATAAATAATGACATATATAACAATTATTCTTCATCGCATGTTCATTTTCCCAATTTATTTTCAATTTCAGAGCAAAATTTATGTTCAACGAATTACATCGTTAGTTTTCGTTTTAATAAACGAGATAGACTTGAAATTCATCAGCCACAAAAACCCAGTTGGGCAAGATTGGAACGAGTTTTTCGTCTCTGCTTACTACGATCTCTGATTGTATATTAGTTTTGTGATAACTCGACAGCTGTGGACGAAACCAGAGATAGCAAACATTCGAATTGACTGCAGAAACTTCGCTCGTGATTATCTTACCCCAGTTCCCATGCCACAAATCGTGCAAAACATACGTACACGAATTTCTAGTTAATTCTAGTTCGAATTTCTAGTAACTATGATTAAATTCGTGTACTGAATTTTAAGACACTTTGAAATTTTTCTGAACTTTGGGACTCTTATATTTTAAAGTTCTGTATATTACTTACTGGATCCAGCATAGTAAACGGTGTATTCCAAATCGAGCCCCACAAAATCGATTTTCAGTTTGTCCACCACCAACCGCGTGAGCATCACGTCCCGTTTATAAAATACAGGTTTCTCGTTCTCGTGCGAGATCGCAGAGTCCATCAAAGGATGGGAGCGAATAAAATTCAGCACAGTGTCTGGGAACGTTTCGGTGTCGTTCACGCATTGTCCAGGTCGTGGATCAGGAACTTTGTTGGACAGTACAGGCAGCCAGGCGCTACTACTCGTTGCCTGCTCTTTGAATTTTCCACGGAACGCTTCTTGAATCGCATCGATGTGGAACGAGCAGATCGCTGAACCCATTAATCCATTCGTGGAAGTGGTGAAGGTGCCGTAGAAATGGGTATCGTCACCTGGTACCTTGTAAATACTCTCTGGAAAAACAGAAATTGAAATAACTGTTATTTTTGTGAACTCTTGTGAGAATATCCTCGTTTAATCCAACACGAATTGATGACAAGTATCTCACAATAGTACCCATAACTTTAAGTGAGGTTCAGTAAAAGTAATTGTATGAAGCGTTTATTTTAAACACAAAATGGCTGGTTGCCAATTGTAGCATAAAGTCACAAAATTGCATGAGACGATGTTTTGATGTCGGTAACTTAATAGCAGAAGACGCTTAATAACTTACGTATTTCGTTGAAGTAGAACGGAAACTCTCCAGGTATGGAACAATTCAACCTGGCCTTCAAGTAAGTCGACCAATTCTGCGACAGGATGTTTTTACCGCCTGTGTCCCGTTTGCAAACTCTCGCCACACGGGAATACACACTTTTGCCGCAATTTATGTACTCCACCGCTGTCTCACGGAAGAAGAAGAACACGTGGATACCGATGTCGTAAGATCCCACGAAATTCGGTTCTGAAACAAGTTGGACATTCGTCGTACACAAAAAGTAATCACCAGAAATTTCACTTCGAGATTATGATAATTTTACCGGGGCGGTTAAAGAACGAGTTCCGGATAACCGGAAGCTGTTAAATGGGAGAAAATTACGCGGAATAGTAAAGGAGTCCGAACACAAACGACCGGAGCTCTACGAAAACTTTGAAATTCGAGAAATCACCGGAGCGATGAACTGAACTATAAAACAGACGTTCCAAGAACCACAAATTACGAGAAGCAAGTTTTATACTGGCCGGAAATAAAACCACTTTTCTACCTTTCGGCACTCGGACAAATTGTCGAAGTTCAACGATACATTCACTTGCCACTTTTACGACTTTCTGTGTTAACTTAAAATGCTAAGGTAGAGTAACGTTATCTTACTATATCCATGTTCTGATACTGTCATTACATTAGTTTGCTATATCATTACTCTATTTATTCTATTTTTCTATTTCTTCTTATTTTTATTTAAATGTACATATGTGGTCACATGAGGTCATATGTGGTCATATATGGCCCGCACTCTAAGTTCAGTCAAATAAATTATTTATTTACAAGAGTGATTCCTAAAAGGCCTTAATGTGAATCGCCATATGTGGTCATATATGTATGGTCATATGTGGTCATATGTGGTCATATATGGCCCGCACTCTAAGTTCAGTCAAATAAATTATTTATTTACAAGAGTGATTCCTAAAAGGCCTTAATGTGAATCGCCATATGTGGTCATATATGTATGGTCATATGTGGTCATATGTGGTCATATATGGCCCGCACTCTAAGTTCAGTCAAATAAATTATTTATTTACAAGAGTGATTCCTAAAAGGCCTTAATGTGAATCGCCATATGTGGTCATATATGTATGGTCATATGTGGTCATATGTGGTCATATATGGCCCGCACTCTAAGTTCAGTCAAATAAATTATTTATTTACAAGAGTGATTCCTAAAAGGCCTTAATGTGAATCGCCATATGTGGTCATATATGTATGGTCATATGTGGTCATATGTGGTCATATATGGCCCGCACTCTAAGTTCAGTCAAATAAATTATTTATTTACAAGAGTGATTCCTAAAAGGCCTTAATGTGAATCGCCATATGTGGTCATATATGTATGGTCATATGTGGTCATATGTGGTCATATATGGCCCGCACTCTAAGTTCAGTCAAATAAATTATTTATTTACAAGAGTGATTCCTAAAAGGCCTTAATGTGAATCGCCATATGTGGTCATATATGTATGGTCATATGTGGTCATATGTGGTCATATATGGCCCGCACTCTAAGTTCAGTCAAATAAATTATTTATTTACAAGAGTGATTCCTAAAAGGCCTTAATGTGAATCGCCATATGTGGTCATATATGTATGGTCATATGTGGTCATATGTGACCTCTAAGTTCAGTCAAATTAATTATTTACAAGAATGATTCCTAAGAGGTTTTAATGTTGAGACAATGATTTATACAAACAAATTAAACAATGGTATTAAAAGATTAGGTACCATGGTTCCTAATAATTTTTATTACAGTGTGTCTAACCACAAACGTCAGTTTTCACTGTAGCAGTCAACATGTCCAAATATCTTCATTAGACACTACCCTTATTAAAATGTTTTACTGGACATCCTTAAAATCGGTTAAATTATATTTTCATCCCTGTCACAAGTGTCTCCCATAACGGTCGACGAATTAACGAAAGCCGCGATTTATTTGACACAGCAATGGAAAAGCAGGAAGGCAATTCTTGTGACATTACCAAGCAAGCGTGTCAAACTGTGTAGTACAGTAGAAGGAGAAGTTTAGCGAAAGTTTCTCGACGGTAATTCGTAAATACCGTCGAGACGACGGTCGAAGGGAGAAGTTCGAAAGCGAATATTAACCAGTCTCGCGTAATTTGGCGTATTTATTAACGAAGTGTCGTCTCTAATAGCGAGCGTGGACGCGGGGGACCCGCGGAAAATAGAATTTCGTATTTATACTCGAGCGAACTAAGTTGAAACACGTCTCGCAGCCCAACGCGCCACTTGTAAACTTCACGGAACTAGCCTCACGGGTGATTTCATTATTCCTATTGCCGCGAAATCGAGAGTACCGCGAGAATGTTTTCCGCTCAGCTTCTCGACGCTGTTCTATACCGACGAGAGGCATCCAATCAAAACTCAACGGTCGAGCCGTGTTTCTCTCGGATCGAGACATTTCCTTTTCCTGCCACCCCTTTGTTTCCTACCCCTCCGCGTACGCCTTTCTCTGTCTCGCCTCCCTCTTTCGCCAGCCTGCCTCAATATATCAAACTTCCACCGGCGAAGCGTCAGACAATCGATTTAATCGGTGAACTGTGAAAGAGATTGCAACCTCCTGCCCCACGACTCCGCATAATGTAAAATCGACGGTGTCTGTAGCCGTCCTCGCAAAATCGCTGCTCGATTTCTGTCTGTATCCAGTTGCTTATTCTCCTTCTATTCGTCAGTTTCCATGTACTGGGTGTCAAAAGCACAAGTGGTCTATGCGATAGTGCAGAATTATATTCAACGTGATCTTCAATATTCTTCAAAATATTTGTCAGAAATATATTTACAGATAGTTTAATTTTATTCACGTTTAGTAAGAGAACGTCAATTATTAAAATTAAGGAAACACTCAAAATTAAACGATTAGCTAAATTCATTAATGTAAATAGTACTGTTGAGATATTTTATCAGTCATTACTCTTCATGATATGATTATCCTTCATGATATGAATTGATGTATTGATGAGATGTGGATTTTATTGAAAGTCTAACAACACAGCTATACAGTAGAATTAGTGAAATACAGTTGTGTAACTTCTAACTCTGTGAAACTCTGTGTTTCAAAGTGCATACTCTCCAAACACCTCTTCGAATACCAAGAACCCATCCACAAAGTCCGTGATGCGCGAATTAGTCATTTCATCTTAATTTGCTTTACACCAAAGCATGAACCAGAACCTGACATGATATGCTTAATTTTCACCATAAAATTAAGCGTATCAAACAATCTGTTTCGACGGCACAATTAATTGTGAGGATTCATACGCCGAAAGTCAAACGAACATGAACCCAGAATCTCTGTGAGCACAATGAAATATGAAAGCGTCCCGTGGAAGGAAACAAATGACCGTGGAACGTCAGAACGTCATTTGACACAGGCAACGATCCGAGAAAGTGGACGGTCGTTGGTCGGTTATTCAGAGCTTGTTAAGCCCCATCCACCGACCTTCTTTTTCCTCTATCTACTCAGTGTTACGCTCTCGTTCATCGTGATCCTTTATTTCTCGCGCCCGCAAATCGCATCCATCTTCATTGCAGATACTTTACCCGGAACGTTGGCCCGCGAGGAGCAAAGAAGAGGGAAAGAGCGAGAAAGGAAGAGGGTGGGAGACAAGCAGGATTACGAGTAGCACGTGAACCTATCCGTCTCCTCGGGGTTCCTCCTGCATTTAATCAACGCCTCTGTTAATAGACAAACTCGATGCGGCGTATGGCTGTTGATGTTAACGTCCCGGGCTCGAAAGGGCAGATCCCGCGGAGAGGGCGAAAGGGCACCGCCTTCAAATTAAACGACGAAACAAACGGCTAATCATGCATCCCAGAGGGTGGACGCGAAGAGGGGCGAATTGGAAAGATACAAAGTGGGGTCGGTTGCTTCACCTCCTTTCACTCCGACGACCCTCGACCCGAGTTTAAGGGAACGGGTCGAAGCGAGGTCGAACGACACGATTCGAGGGCGAGGTACAGCACCCTCATGAGAAATATAAGGCAACTAGTTCGCGCCGCTATTATTTCGCGAGGCTCGCGCGTCGCCGCAAGAGAAATACGGTAGACGAGATACACGAAGTTGAAATTAATTGATAACTTTGCCGGGAATTTATGATCCCGCCTTCCCAATTAACCGTAAAGAACGCTCGCAGCACGCGGCGCAAATGAAATTGTTTCGCGAACGACCGCAACAATGAATTATTCCTACGGTGGAACGCGCTTTCGCTTTCTTTCGAATGCCGAACTTGGGGAAAGTGTTAATATTTTATTTTGGGGTTAAGGTTGCAAACATTTGATATTACTGGATTTACTTATGTAGAGAGGTATCTCAAACTATCAGGATATATTGTTAATAATTTCAGAATTCTCAGGATTAATATTTATTGTCAATGCTATAGTATCTACACAGTTGTTTCATAAAATATTTCGAAATTCCGGTATTCTGGAATCGTACATTTAACAAGCAACAACCTATTAATTATTTGAACAGATATTACAGTAACAGATATAAAGTCATAAAGCGCAATCACGACGATAACCCAAACAAAGCGTAGCTCTCGAACCGGTTTCGATCCGATTACCGCATTCCACGATTCGGCACCCAGAACACGTTCTAATCTACATTTTCCAATTTCTTCCCTCTCGAATTCCAATCGATGTTTTGGGGGTTGAACGAAAAATCGAGCCGCGAACAATAATCCCTCCCCCTTAATTTCTCCGTCTCCACTCGATCGTTGAAATTGATTAAAAATCGATTCTCGGAAAAGAGGGAAAAACTTCGACGTCCTTTTCGTGCAGAAACTCCGACGGAGCGTTTAGCCGAAGGAAAATCGTGGAAAGGTGTTATTTTATAACTCTGCTACTTCTCGTAACTACAACCCCTTTTGTAAAGCCTGATCGTATACTAAACCGTCGTGTTACCCTTCGAGCTCTCTATCTCGCCCTTACTCACACGAGCACGAATACCACGGCAATTTTCGTTACACGGTTTTCCACGGAAACCGTTAGAACGTTCAAAGACGAAGCTGTCAGCCTTTCCCTTTTTCCCAGAACAACCAACACGGTATCGCAGATCCCGCGGAGAGGGCGAAAGGGCACCGCCTTCAAATTAAACGACGAAACAAACGGCTAATCATGCATCCCAGAGGGTGGACGCGAAGAGGGGCGAATTGGAAAGATACAAAGTGGGGTCGGTTGCTTCACCTCCTTTCACTCCGACGACCCTCGACCCGAGTTTAAGGGAACGGGTCGAAGCGAGGTCGAACGACACGATTCGAGGGCGAGGTACAGCACCCTCATGAGAAATATAAGGCAACTAGTTCGCGCCGCTATTATTTCGCGAGGCTCGCGCGTCGCCGCAAGAGAAATACGGTAGACGAGATACACGAAGTTGAAATTAATTGATAACTTTGCCGGGAATTTATGATCCCGCCTTCCCAATTAACCGTAAAGAACGCTCGCAGCACGCGGCGCAAATGAAATTGTTTCGCGAACGACCGCAACAATGAATTATTCCTACGGTGGAACGCGCTTTCGCTTTCTTTCGAATGCCGAACTTGGGGAAAGTGTTAATATTTTATTTTGGGGTTAAGGTTGCAAACATTTGATATTACTGGATTTACTTATGTAGAGAGGTATCTCAAACTATCAGGATATATTGTTAATAATTTCAGAATTCTCAGGATTAATATTTATTGTCAATGCTATAGTATCTACACAGTTGTTTCATAAAATATTTCGAAATTCCGGTATTCTGGAATCGTACATTTAACAAGCAACAACCTATTAATTATTTGAACAGATATTACAGTAACAGATATAAAGTCATAAAGCGCAATCACGACGATAACCCAAACAAAGCGTAGCTCTCGAACCGGTTTCGATCCGATTACCGCATTCCACGATTCGGCACCCAGAACACGTTCTAATCTACATTTTCCAATTTCTTCCCTCTCGAATTCCAATCGATGTTTTGGGGGTTGAACGAAAAATCGAGCCGCGAACAATAATCCCTCCCCCTTAATTTCTCCGTCTCCACTCGATCGTTGAAATTGATTAAAAATCGATTCTCGGAAAAGAGGGAAAAACTTCGACGTCCTTTTCGTGCAGAAACTCCGACGGAGCGTTTAGCCGAAGGAAAATCGTGGAAAGGTGTTATTTTATAACTCTGCTACTTCTCGTAACTACAACCCCTTTTGTAAAGCCTGATCGTATACTAAACCGTCGTGTTACCCTTCGAGCTCTCTATCTCGCCCTTACTCACACGAGCACGAATACCACGGCAATTTTCGTTACACGGTTTTCCACGGAAACCGTTAGAACGTTCAAAGACGAAGCTGTCAGCCTTTCCCTTTTTCCCAGAACAACCAACACGGTATCGACGGCTTTTTACGTAACTATTTAAGCATGGTACCCATTTCTTCGAGAACTTCAAAGAATCTCGTTACGGGGGCTCTTTTTTCCCCTTAGCTTTCGAGTATTTCCACGGGAAATCCGTATTCGGATTCTAATGAAACTTTCTTTATTGACGGAGGAAGCTGTGACGAAACCTTTAAGTCTGCAGGTTGCGAGAATTTGCTATTTGCGTTTGATGCTTGCACGACCATAATTAAACTGTATCATTTGTACACATCCTATGAAATAACACATTAGTGTCACATAGTAACATTAAATTTAATTTCAGTTTGTAGATGACTGAATTATTCCTTTAAATATTCTATAATGTATAACTTTCGTCCAAAAATTTTTAATGTATAATTTTTATTATTTCATTAAATACATCAATATATAAATCTTTTAGTATTTGTTATTGCTCACTATTCAACATTTTAATAGTACACAAATTTTTATCTCCATTTTTGCATTTATGTCTACATGCAAATATTCAGTATCTTATGACAGTAGCTTTAAATCGTTCATTGTATTTTACACAGGAGTGTATTGTTTAAGCTTTAACGGATAATAAAAATCAATGAATATTCTGTAACGATGAGAATGCAGAGGTTTAACTCCAATAACTTTAATCCATTGCTATTGAAATACCGCACCGCGCCGTTTATTGGCGATTTATTCCACTTGTCTGACCATACATCGACCTATACTACTTGCGGCACAATGAGAACTGTATTACAAGCCAGTATGTGCTCACAGAAATGATTAATGGATGAAGTATATCTGATACTTACAACGCAACATTAATAATGTTAATTAATCCTTCCACACTAGATGTCTCATGTTTTAATTCTAATTTAATTCATTTAATGTTTTAATTCATGTTTAATCATTTTAATTGGACTGAACGATAAATACACTTCTCGAAATACTAATAATATAGGATTGTACACAAGTTTCTTATGAACTTGTAACAACTGAAAAATATTTTACGTGGACCAAAAAAATTTTATCCCAAAATTAATAACAAGTGTAGTTGAAATTAATTGGACATCCAAAAGTGTTCATAGGATTGGATGAAAAATATAGGCGGCAGTGACAAAGTTAAGGTATGGAATTTGTAAATGGAGGCAAATACGGTGAAAAGAAATTTTCTCACCGTTTTATCTCCTTCCTCTGCAACCTCTTATATCTTGATTTGCAAGCGTTTCGAATTTAAAGCGTTATTACGAGGATTCCGTCTCTCGTTAGGGTTCGCGCAGAAAAGTTCCGTAAGCAGAGTACTAATTCCGTGGATATTGCCTCGTTTGAGATCAAGAAGAATAAGAAGAAGAAGAGGAAGTAGAAGAAGAAGAAATTGCCGAGCAGAAGAGTACTTACTGTCCAGCCATTTCGAGTCGTACTTCAGCGTCCTCTTAAAGCTGAAGGCCTTGCGACCGGTGGTTAAATTGTAGAGGTCCGTACGAAAGATTACGGTATCGGCTTTCGTGAATTCGGCATTGGTGCCGGAATAAAGAGCTGGCAGGTCCCCAGGATTGCCCTTTTCTACCCAGACCGCCGTCGAATTGTCCGCCGGATCGTAAGGACACTTTGCTATGCCCATTCCAACGCCCGGGACGAACTCGTGACGGGGTAAGTGGGTCAAATTGCTCTGTTCGTGAAAAAAGTCACAATCCAGTTACGCGACACTCGTAAACGAAACGATTTACATCTGTTTATTTTTAACGCGTTCCATTACCGTGTGCCATTTCGATCTCTGGAATTTCGCCAACGTACTTATTTAAATCGAAACACAAATATTTAAACTAATGATACTATTTACTTATTAATAGAACTATTTATTTAACTTCCTCATGAGAATTCTCAAATTTTTAGACTTATTCAAATTATTAACAGAATTTATTTTACTAAAAATTGACTGACATTTTTATTTACATTGCAACATCAAAATGGCGCACACTGTTATGACTTCAACTACACAATTTTTATATCACATATCAATATATTTTAAATTGCGAACGGTCTATGGTTACACATGATTGGAAAAAACGTTGTAACTGTAGAGGGGAGTTTAATTTAGAGGTTACGCATTGATTCGACGTATTTCGAGGTTCATTTGGAACCTGATCGACGCGTTCCACGCAAAAGCTACTAGTTACTCCATGGGACCCTATTACACGCACGGGAGTCGTAATCTTCGACAAAGCGAGACCAATATATTCTTTGACTTCATTACACGGGTACTTGAACTCACGATTCATTTACCTTGCTGCGTAACTCTTATGCCTCTGGCGCCGGCGATGAATTCCGTTCAACGAATTAACAATGTCGGGTATTCATCTAATATTGCTTGTGATGTAGACAACAAATAGTGTAAAATGAACAGGGTCAATGAAATATAATGTACAATATAAAATTAAGTCGATAGTACAACATGTACAATAAAATGAAGCCGATAGAATAAAATATAAAATGAAGTCTGTAGTCCAAAATATAAAATGAAGTGTATAGTTCATAATATAAAATGAAGTCTATAGTTCAAAATATAAAATGAAGTCTACAGTTCAAAATATAAAATGAAGTCTGTAGTTCAAAATATAAAATGAAGTCTAAAGTTCGATATATAAAATGAAGTCTATAATTCAATATATAAAATGAAGTCTGTAGTCCAAAATATAAAATGAAGTCTATAGTTCAATATATAAAATAAAGTCTATAGTTCAAAATATAATATCAAGTCGACAGTATAAAATATAAAATCAAGTCTATAGTTCAAAATATAAAATCAAGTCTACAGTTCAAAACATAAAATGAAGTCGATAGCTCAAAATATAATATGAAGTCTATAGTTGAAAATACAAAATGAAGTCTATAGTTCAAAATATAACATGAAGTCGACAGTATGAAATATTCTAATGAAGTCTATGGTTCAAAATATAATATGAAGTGAACAGTTCAAAACATAAAATGAAGTCGATAGCTCAAAATATAACATGAAGTCTATAGTTGAAAATACAAAATGAAGTCTATAGTTCAAAATATAACATGAAGTCGACAGTATGAAATATTCTAATGAAGTCTATGGTTCAAAATATAATATGAAGTGAACAGTATAAAATATAAAATGAAGTCGATAGTTCAAAATATAACCTAAAGTCGACAGTATGAAATATTATAATGAGGTCTATAATTCAAAATATAATATGAAGTCGACAGTATGAAATATTATAATGAAGTCTATAGTTCAAAATATAATATGAAGTCGACAGTATGAAATATAAAACGAAGACGATACTTCAAAATATAAAATAAAGTCGATAGTTTAAAATTTATCGTGACGTCTACGGACCAAAATATAGAATGAAGTCGAAAGTATAAAATACAAAATGTATAAAACTAAGAGAACAGTACAAGATACAAAATGAATATAATCAACATAACAATAAAATAAATTACAAAAATAAACAACCACAGAATAGAATTGTTCCCCTTCCATTTTCAGCTCCAGTTACAACATCTTTCCAATTCAAAAAAGTGAGTCAACGTGATTCCGATGAAAACCACGAAACAAACGATCGAAATGAAGAGCAAACAGTGAGATACTTACATAAATCACCCAATCCTTGGGCGAGTGAGCGTTCGTGCCACACATGTAGAGCCGATTGCCATCCCCCATAGGTTGGATCACCCTTATATGATTCCGGCAGTCGAAGTGCTGCGAAAGAAGGGGAAGAAAATTGAATTTTCAACAGATACGTGCGAAAGAAACGCGAGGACAAGAGAGTTCGACGCGGGTGGATAGGGATTTTTCCGAAAATTATATAGAGCGAGATCGAGGCGAAAGGGTTGGTGTGTCGCGGTCGATCACGTCGCCGTATTTCGCGGCGAATTGTCGGGCAGAAAATAAATTGGTTTTGTCGTCACGTAGAGAATATTTGCGTGGACTTTACACCTCGACGACGGGTACGAGATGAATACGAATGAAGCCGCGATAAGAGACGGCGAAAGAGTAGGTATGCCTTAACTAGTCATTTCGTACCTTCGGATTAATAACAAGAAATTCTACGTTGCGACGGTGAGAACTATATTATTTTATAATGTGCCTGAAAGTGGTAGATTTCTATATTCTCAAATTTTCAAATTTGGGGGTAAGATTTAGGAACTTGATAACTTGTGAATTTGAGGATATGAATGCTCAGAAATTCAAAAATGAGATATGAAAGTTAGAAAAATTTGAGACTTACAAATTTAAGAACTTGAACATACAAAAATTTGAATATGAAACATAAAATTATGAATTATAAAAATGTGAATATTTTGTAATTTAAAAATCTGAAAAAATTCGAGTTTAAGAACTTAGAAAAAAAAAGACATAAAAAACCAGTTTACCTCTGATTTTCCTTTGGACACACAATTGGCCACGTTGCTAGGTTCCAAGTTAAGCGCGTCCCTCTGTAACAAGAACAAAGAAGAAACGATTATTATCGCTGCGACAAGCTTCTTCTTAAAGTAACATTGAACCACGTGCACACAGAACCTCTATCAATTCAGCTCTGGCGTAATGCGCTTATTTCGAACGAGGCGATTGCAAGCTTAAGACACGAGATTGAATCTCTGAACGCAGTCTCGGACGATGGGCTGCCGGAAATGGGACGATCATTAAGAACACAAACATCAAACGACCCTTGAGAACTCAATTAACAACGCACACACTACGCAATATACTTTAAAGTTCGTTAGCCCCGCCATTTTGCACTTGGTGCATTTGCAGCACCAGAGGTTGAGTTCGTAAAAGATTCACGTGTCGAGACGTTAGATTTCCATACATAAGATTTCCGTGTTAGGTAACTACGCGTTAGATTTTCACGCGTTAGATAACTACGCGTTCAATAACCACGCGATTGATTTCCACCCGTTGGAAAACAACACGATTGATTTCCACGCGTTAGGTAACTACGCGTTGGATTTCCACACGTTAGATAACTACGCGATTGATTTCCACCGGTTAGATGACTACGCAATTGATTTCCACGCGTTGGTTAACTACGCGTTAGATTTCCACGCGTTAGATAACTACGCGATTGATTTCCACGTGTTGGTTAACTACGCGTTAGATTTCCACGCGTTAGATAACTACGCGATTGATTTTCACGCGTTGATTAACTACGCGTTAGATTTCCACCCGTTAGATAACTACGCGATTGATTTCCACGCGTTAGATGACTACGCAATTGATTTCCACGCGTTGGTTAACTACGCGTTAGATTTCCACGCGTTAGATAACTACGCGATTGATTGCCACGCGTTGGTTAATTACGCGATTGATTTCCACGCGTCGCGATTGATTTCCACGCGTTAGGTAACTACGCGTTGGATTTCCATGCGTTAGATAACTACGCGATTGATTGCCACGCGTTGGTTAATTACGCGATTGATTTCCACGCGTTGGTTAACTACGCGTTAGATGTCCACCCGTTAAATAACTACGCGATTGATTTCCACGCGTTGGTTAACCACGCGTTGGATAACTACGCAATTAATTTCCACGCGTTAGATAACTGCGCGTTAGACTTCAATACGTTCGATTACTACGCGTTAGATTTTCAGTCGTTAGATTTCTACGCGTTAAATCACTATATATTAGACTTCCACATGCTGCGTCGCTACGTATCAGGTCTTCACTCATTAGATTTTCACACGTTAGGTAACTACGAGCTGGATTTCCATAAGTTGTATTACCACGCGTTAGATTTTCGTGCTTCCTGTCGCTATTCCTTAGATCCCCACGCATTACATCTCCATGCATTACATTTCCAAAAATTGTTTTACTTTGCATTAGATCATCACTCATTAAATGTCTTCACCCTTTATGTCTGTAGACGATAAATATCGATTCACATCACTATAAGTTAGAAAGCCACATATTAGCTCTTCAAGTGTCACATTGCTGCATATTGCACGTCTCCGCAATCAGGACACATTACATCTTAATATACCTAACACGTTCCCAACTTCCAAAAATGATCGACCTTAATAAAGAAACCCAATCGTCAAGCTAGTTACACCAATGGATGCCTGTGAATCCTGGCGGTGACTCGAAACGTCGCGACATCCAGAAAATTCTATTTCGAAGAACGCCGTTCGTAACTACGAGTCATTCAAGCCCGGCAGTCGAGCTTTTTCCGCGAAAGAGACGTATTCTTACGTTCGTTTGACGTTCGCCAGGCGTGCTTGGCAGCCGTCTAGGTCTGCTCGCTTCGGCTTTCTTCAGCTCGACCTTACACAACGCGAAGAGGTGTCACGAGTGCATGTGCTTCACGTTTCGCGAGCGCGAAGAAGAGGCTGCTGCTACTCGTGTCATTGTGCGGATCTCGCGACGTCGTCGCAGACGGAGTCGCGCTTTTCGAAAGCTGCTACGAATGTGCCCCGGAAATAAGGTCAACAGACGGAGCCGTGGGTAAGCTCCGAGAGGCTATCAAGTCCGACGACGTGTCTTTACCTGCGACGAGAGTACGCTCCTTTGAAGTTTCACTCTTGATTCGAGCTACCCGGCAACAGTGCTGTGCCTGCTTGTCCCAATTTCATCGCGAATTTTCATTCGATACGACTGATACTTAAGTGGCGACGTTTCGAGATTTTGCGGAAAGCTACCGAACGTGGTATGAGAGCTGTGGTTAAGGGTTGTGTGTAGCTTTTGCTTCGTGGACAGATTTCGAGGGATTATTATAATATGGAGAATGTGGGTATGCCTTGAATTAGAGATGAATTTGGAGACAGGCTAGTCTGGGTAATACGAGGATTTGGAGATGGAAATTTGGGAAATTAGGGATTTAGAAATATGGGGATTCGAGGGTTTGGAAGTTTGCGAAATTGGGGATTTAGAAATTCGGGGATGTGGAAAGTTGGAAGTCTGGGAATGTGCGAATATGCGATTTATGGGCTTTTGCTAGTTTGAGGATTAGATTTGGAAACTTACAAAGTTGGAGATTTAGAAATTAGGAGAGATGAAAATTTTGGGAATTTATAATATGTGGAAATATTCGATTTTTGAGTCCCAAGAATTTTAAGATCTGGAACTCGAAAATTTAGAAAGTTGGAGATATGGAAATTTTGAGAGTAAGCTGACCTAACGTAACCTTAATTTTTATCTAGTTACGCCACTGAAAATCGCACAGCACATTCGTGCCTTGACCCACTACACACTCCATAAATTACGCAACAATTACACCATGTTATTGACACCTTTTTTAACGCACTCCTTAATAGAACTTAATAAGTACAATTATAACAAAAACACTCGTACCTGTTTAACCGTAATTATCGCCATCCGTTGACTGAAAGTGCAACGTTTACGTAACGCACGCGTTTAAATCACACCTTCGGTACTTGATTATAGAGAATAAAAACTAGACGTATCATTAGATACCATAAACTCGGAACAGCGAAATTGTGATATAACGCTCGCAGTTCGCATGCAAATGTTACCCTATTAAAAAGTGACAGTGAAATAATCTACAACAATACCGGTTCGCTTTACTTTAATTGTCTTAATCCATTTTAGCTCGCTGTCCATGTACAGAAACACCGAAACAGCAACTCTTTTATTGCGTTTGCTCGATATTGCTCAACGTATGTGAAATAAAATTTGTATCGTGCATGACGCAGGTGCGGTTGATTGCGCACCATGACTTTCGGCGGAAAAATAAAAAAGATTAATACGATAAAAACACACATGAAATTCGATATTTTACTGAAATTGTTAGGTTTACTATTCAATCGCTGATTTTAAAACAGTGTACGTTCCAAAATAAAAATAGTGCAAAATAGTATTTATTCACTTACTCTTTATTTTACGGACAAACTTCAAAAAATACAAAAACCCTATTCCACTACAAACCAATTAACTACCAAAATTCTGAAACTTAAAAAATGTGCAAGGAACTTACACATGAATTTGATGGATATTGACAGTAAATTGATACAGTGTTATACAGTGATAAATTTATAAGAATTAATAATCGTGATATTTGTAGCAGTGCTCGAAAGTTAGTTGAAATTTATCCAGGTAAAATGCAAAGCGCGTCATAAAACTTGACCGTCTCTACAGTGCCCTTTTGCTGTCTTCCGCATCGGGCGGGTAACAAATAACGCGAGGATGCGTACACCTCGCAAAAACAATTCTTTCGTTAATTTATTAGCCGTAGATCACTGTCACCGGGCGCTGTTTCGGCTTTTCACGGGGCTGGGACCAGGACAATTTCGAGGATCAACGCCGTTTCTGGCCGTGACACTATCGGGGGTGCGGCACGCGACGTCCGCAGGAGATCGATCGTTAAGGCCAACGCGTTTCGGACGATTGACCGTGCAAACGAACCACTTCCTTTTCCGGATCGTGTCTACGACCTCTGGCACACGAAATGCTCGAAAGAGACCGAGCACCCTTCGAAGGCGTCGAAATCTATGGTCGAAGGGTCTTGGTCTCCGTTTTTCTAAATTATGTTAAGGCACTGTCTCGGAAAGTTCCTCTTTCAATCACTTTTAAATATTTTGTGATACTTGAATTTTACTGACAAGTTAACAGTTGTACATATAAACATTTATACACACATGCGCATATCCATATGCATACAATACATATGCATATACATTTAATCACTTTTAAATATTTTGCAATACTTGAATTTTACTGACAAGTTAACAGTTGCACATATAAACTATTATACACACATGTGCATATCCATGTGCATATACACATGCATATACATATGTGTGTTAGGGATGATCAAAGATTGAGTGAAATCTTCAAGAGCATTAATCTTCTATACTTCTTTGTATTGTACTCATTTGACTATACATATTATGGAAGAATTAAAAAAAATATGTATTAATAAAAATTATAATAAAGTTACTCATTATGTGGTTAAACAAAATTATTTTGACAATAATGTGATCAGCGAAGTCATTCAATTTTTTTAAAATTTTCATTTGGATCACTTTCATAGTCATTGATATACACACATGCATATATCATATACGTATACATATGCATGCATATGTATACATATACAAAAAAATTGATCATATTTATTTCTACAACGCTGCAAGTTTTTAAAAATGAACAACTCATAGACGTTTCAAAAGATATTTTAACAAAAAATTTTTTAATCCTTCGCGTTTCTCAAAATCGGTGCAAGATGTTGCACCACGAAAAAAGCAAAAATGAAACGATCCATGAATTTCATTTTAAAACGAGTTAAAATTTTCTCCGGGCATGCACGGCGATTGCAATCGAGACGAATATAGAAAAGGTTCGATAGGCGAGCGTAAATCGAACTCCGTGAATCTGCTCGATTCTCGCGCGCTCCGTGAAGTTCCAGCGACGAAAGCTCGTCGAATAGAATTCCTCGCAGGAATTCCATTTTACACAGCAGTTGCCGCCAGCTAGACGATTC